TAATTTTTAGAAATGTGTGTTGCGCATTTATTCTAAATAATAATGTATGCGTATAAATTTTAAAAGTTCATAAATTGATATTGTGAAACATAAAAAAAATTATAAAGAAATAAGAGATTCTTACCAAATAAATATAGTTAATTTATTGAATTATCACATATAATTATAGTTGTACACTATATCTTGTCCTATATTTATGATTTATATGATGCCACTAAAACTGAAAGAAGGAAAAAATGACACAAACACAACTACATATGGTAAAACACGTATGAAGATTGAATAAAATAAAGAAAAGATTTTGAAATTAATAATTAAATACTACCATTTCTTATGATTTATAAGATATTATCGAATGCATAATTTATAGTTTGCAATCCAATTTTTTCCTTCATTCAATATGAGAGAATGGAAGATGAAGTTTTAAAATTCGGAAAAGGGTCTAAAATACCCTTAAAGTATTGAAAATGGTACAAAATTACCCTTCATCCACCTATTGGCTCTAAAATGCCCTTTTCATCCACCTATTGGCTCCAAAATACCCTTGTCACCCACCTTTGTGTTCAAAATTGACCACTTATTTAACGATTTTAAATTTATACTATTCAAATATTTTTAAAATACTTGATGTTCAACTAATGTGTTATAATTTAATTTATTTGTATTATTTATAAACCAACCCGCTACCCACCCATTACTAACTAAACCCCACACAATTAATTATCTAACTATAATATAAAATTCGTCATCCCGAATTAATTCATGCACTTTTTAAAAATATAATTTTATAAATATTTATGATTTCTTTTAATATATTATTTTGAAAAAAAGTTACCTATGAAGTAACATCACATAATTGCACGTAAGAATAATTAAGATGAACATAGTCAGACTTTTAAGTTTATCGGTAATTTTTATTTAGACACTTGAATGTATGATAATTTACTTCTATAGATATTTTCGCCTCAAATTTTTAAAAACTCAATTGCCAGAAGCTTTTCTATTGTTGTATTAATAATGTGAGTGATTTATTAATTTGGAGGGTTTAATAATTAGTAATGGATGAGTAGTAGATTAATTTATATATTAATAAGTTAAATTATAGCAAATAGTTGAACGCCATGTATTTAAAAAATATTTAAATAGTTTAAATAAAAAACCGTTAAATAAGTGGTCAATTTTGAATCAAAAGGTGGATGACAAGGGTATTTTGGACCCAATAGGTGGGTGGGAAGGGTATTTTGGAATCAATAGGTGGATGGAGGGTAATTTTATACCATTTCCAATACTTTAAGGGTATTTTAGACTCTTTTCCGTTTAAAATTTAATTTGTAGAAATTAAATGAAAAGTATTGATCTTTAATCTTTCATCTTTGTTAATGTTTCTCATTTTATTACAATTATAAGTCTATTCAAATTTTTACTTTTAACATCTTTTCACTTTTAGTATTTAGTATAATATATATGATATTGTTTATTATTTAATTAGTTAGATATTTAATTTAGCAAAAAGGTAAAATTATAATCCAAATTTGTACTTAAAAGCATAATGAAACTTAGCATACCTAATTTGTACAAGTTACTTAAAAGCATAATGAAACTTAGCAAACCTAATTTGCACAATTCAAACAAGATGAAATAAAAATTTAACATGAGAAGCTATACTGCATAGTCCTTAAGAGAAGAGTATCAACAACTTGCTTCGCTTATTGAAATTTTAATCTTATTTATTAATTATTTTGTTTACTCTTATTTATTAATTATTTGTATCACATAAACAACAAAGTCGATGTAAAACTTATGACTTTACTTTATCGTATAACTTACGAATACAATTTTTGAGCCATCATCCTTCGCACTACATACTTAAAAGCATATAAATACTACTATAAAAAATTTCTAATTCATTATTTAATCCCACATCTTCTCTATTGAAGAAGCAGAATTACAAAAAAGAGAACTCATGACATATAATTCAAGAGATTAGCCTATTAACAGACCAAAATAGTTGCAACTCAACAAACCTATTTATCAAAATATACAAAGCGAGAAAAATAAATGATTAATTTATACAAAAGGAAAAAATGAAGGGATTTTCAGCAAGACAATTGCAAGGAATATTAGTAAAAATGTATTAGACACAATTATTATTACAATCCATCCTAAAAGAAGTATCATATAAACCCAAAAATAATTAACATATATTAATACATAAATAATGGGAGTACAACCAGCATATTTCTAACACCCAAATAAAGTTTCATACAATTATCAAAACCCAAAGAAGCATAATATTTTTTGCACCAACTTTCTCATACCTGGAACGACTTGCTAGGGAAAGGATCAATTCGGCAGCAAAATAGACACTTATGAAAAGGTTTCCAAATCTAAAAGGATTACTGAGAAGTGAAGGAAAAGGACAATTACATATGCTTGAAGAAACAAATATATAAAATTGTCTTATGATTGCTTTTCTAACATTATTTTTTTTCAAGAAATTAGATGTTTGAGTGATTATTTTGATTGATCAATGTATATATTTTTCTATGCAAATTCATAAAAATTTGTAAAGAATATGAAAAAGCTATTACTACATGGAAGATGAAAGAGACAAAACATTAAAATCGAAATAAATACGGAGATAACTAAGTAATTCAAACATTTAATAATTGTGGGAAGATGGAACAATTTCTACATTCAAATTCAACCTAGAAAATGAATGGTTTTCTGTTTAAAAGTTTTTTATTTTATTTTATTTTTTTTAATCTTTAATGTAGAAATAAATTGTTAATAAAAATTTGTATGAGCATTTTCGTAATTCAACTTCGGACTTGAAGGCTTCCCACTTGTAATAATATATGATATGATGATTCAAACAATACAACGATTACAGAACTCCGTAACCTAAGAAATTATAAACTCTAATTTCTTCTACCCAAGACACAAAACTAATCTCTAGTTTTGTATCTTCTAATGCTTTTCAAGTTCTTCAACTTGTCAAGCAATTTCTACTAAACAAGACTCTTAACCTTACAATTTTAACACTCAACTCGCAACACTCAAAAGTATTTATCAAAACTCTTGATCGTGTTTTGATCTTCTCTTTTTGTAAGTGCGCGATTTTTTCTGATGCAAATAGCTCCCTACTTATAGATCAAAACTTCCACAAGTCCTTGTATAATTCAACTTGTATTTGCCTTCTACAAATCCTTGTTGACTTCTATTTGGACTTCATTTCTACAAAATACTGCACATCAACAAATCTTTGTTGATCTCGACTTTGACAAATGCCTTGTTAATCTTGAAAACCTTGCTGCACTTTAACTTGGATAAACACAAATTTTCCTCAAGTAAATAAGAAGGTATACTTTCCTTATTTAAATAAGAAAATATAATTTCCTTTTCATCTTGATTTAGTTAAAATGGTGTATTCCTTATGCAATCTTGAATTCGTTGAATTCTCTGAAACGTGTTGACTCTACCTGTTCAATACAACTTTGCCAACAATTAACAAATTTTATCCTTTTCCCATTACTATAAACACATCTTAACATCCAGATTTAATTATCAATTGAATATACTACAAAGTTATTACTGAAATTCTATTTTTCCTCCTCTGTCTTTTCATCCAACATAGCTGAATAACTCGTTTCTTCTTTTTCTTTGTTTGGTGGAGATCTACTCCTATGCTCAGTGTCTTTGTTTGCATGTATATAACCTTGCTTCTGCTCGCCGCTGGCGCACCTCTCCTAACTATTGCCCATTTATTCTGGAATAATCTTTTTAGGAGGGACAATTTTACATATTTCTGCCAAATCCTTCTATTATTAAGTACGGCTGAGTATCTTCGCTACACTACTTTTTAGCTTCTAAAACCTCGGTTCTACTTGAGTCCCTACATTTTAGGTAACAACTCGATAGAAATCTCTTCCTTATCAGATATTCCATGACATGAGATTTATGCTTCTTATCTAGCAAATACCCCTTCAGTTATCTATGATTCTATTCTTCGCCACAATAAGCATCTGATTTCAGCTTTAGGCAATTCACTCAATGTGTTCAGGTAGTCCTATGTCTGACCAATTTTAATTCCTTGAGATGTGATGGGAAAATTTTTTGCACTTGGAATATATGGACAACATTATCAAACTACCTGTTATTTTCACCAATTTTATAGTCCTTAGTAGTCCCGTGAAATCTTAGCTTTTTGATGTTCTCACACCTTGGAATGATCTCTTTTTTACAACATTATCGGAGGACTTCAAAACAAAATTCAAGACTATGGCAACTGATATTTTTGCTTACTATGTTATTATCTAATATTCAAACCAAAAATTTGTTGAAGAACAACATCAGGCCCCACTTTTATTTTGAGGACACCCTTAAAATAAAATCCCCAAAAATTGATGAAGTTCCATTGTCAAGATGGAAATCTAAAGGTCACCTATCTACATGACAAAGAAAAGAGTGGAACATGGTTTTGCTTCTTACCGGCAATTGTTCATTTTATGGTTTCAAATTATTGGTATTCAGAGAAGAAAGCAGGAAACTTATCATCTTTCAATTTAAAACTAGCTGCATCCACATATTTTAGGCCCCATATTGACTTGGCCAACATGCATCAACACATGGCTTTGCCTTAGGTGGTTACTGACAAAAATTTCAGCTCCATTTTGTATAAATAATCCCCCATTCATGATCCTTTATCATCATCAAGCACAAGCATTATAAATTTAGCCATCAAAGTTTCCTAAATTTCTAATTTCTTGTTTCCAGTCTTCAAAGGAAAAATGGCAATGCTCAGCGCTAAGAAACTCATCAAGATGGCCAGGAAATGGCGGAAGTTTGCAGCCATACAGAGGAAAAGGATTTCATTTCCAAGAAATGGTAGTGATGCAGACAGTTGCAGTACATCTTCATCCTCTATAGTGGAAAAAAGACATTTTGTAGTATATACAGCTGATCAAGTTCGCTTTGTCATTCCATTGGTTTACCTTGAAAATGAGATCATTAGACAACTTTTCAACATGTCCGAAGAAGAATTTGGGCTACCGAGTGGTGGTCCAATTACATTACCCTGTGATTCATCCTTCATGCACCATATCATTTTGCTTATCAAGAAAGGCATAACTGCTGGAGATCTTCACAAAGCGTTGCTCCTATCAATTCCTTCTTCTTGCTGTTCGACTTCTTCTTTGCACCAAGAAAGTGGAAACCAACGGCTTCTTGTTTGTTGAGTCATAATACATGCTAGCTGAAAATAGTTTTTTAGATAGGCCATACACGAATAAACATTATTGTAAAGTGAATCATACAGATATTTCTAATATTATTTTATCAGAGAAAGTTTACCATATCCACGGCTTTCACTTGTTACGTTTAGTTATGAGAAGATTTTACAATCTAATCCTCGATTGGTACCTCTTACGTATTAACACCACTTTGTTTATGGCAAGCATTTCACTTACAGCAGTACCTTCTAGATTGAATAAGGTCTAAATGATCAATAAATCAACTATGCTCCTTTTATGAGTATGTGCATTAGTATGTTCTAATCAGGCTTTGCTGAAGTATCTGCATTAGGGTGTCAGGGATGAGAGACAACGACATCTGAAGTACCGTTGTGCTTTTCTTCTAAGTTAGCATCCAGTGTGAACATTTTGTGGTATTTTCAGAAGCAATTAGGTGATAAACAGTATGAGCTAACTAGTCTTCAAATCTAAAGAAAGACTCAAGTATGATATCTGAATAACTGCAGATGTCCTTAAAATTCCATTAGATTGAATAAATAGTCATTTGATAATTCCCGTTCTTTCAAGATATGGTTTTTAACTCTAACTGATGTTATAAGAATGAACAATTAACTCATAATCTTAAGAAAGACACAGAAAAGGAAAGGTTTTTGCACTGTGTATATATATGTTTAGAGGAAGTTTGACATCCTAAAGTTTATCCAAATATACAGACACTAAACTTGTTGAATAGTAGGCCTCAGCTTCTCATAACTTAGAATCAAGGACATCATAAAAAATTTTAAGCCTTAAGTATTGATAAAGCTGATGACTTGGTTCCGCTACGTAATTCCTTGTTTCTTATCACAAACAGTCATTCTTATTCTGCTAAATGGTACTTTCTTGGATGTGTTAGTTTGCAAGCAAATATAACCAATTAAATTAGTTATTATAAGAAACAGTACTTCTGCTATTAATAAACTGATCATGTAACAACTTCTATAGATTTTTGTGTTTCTGAACTATACAGTGAAAGTTCTTTTAACAATCTCCTATTTCTAACATCTAAATCTACAAAATTTCATGTGCAAGAGAATTTGCACTTTGATACAATTCATGATCTCAAGCAGGATGTGAGATGAACAAACACGTCTTCCTTGCAAGGTATCGTGAGACCGCCCATTGGATGATCGAAACCAAACTGTTCTTCAGCTTGAGTTAACAAGTCTTGAAATAAAGGCTGGCTCAAGTATGATATTGGCACGACGAATCTCTTCTTCTGGCTCTCTCCTACATATACTGCGCAATGTCCTTTTGGAACACCTCCGGAATTTGAAAACCTCCTCAAGATTCTAGTACCTTGAATAAGCGGACTCATTTTGATGCCCATAGTGAGATACTTTGTAACTTTAAATGATGACTTCATAGAAAGAGAAAGTATTTTTGAGGAATACACAGCAAGTGAAACTTGTGTTCTGCATAAAAAACTTTCTATGAATGTATATATACAAAGTTAGTGGTACATTTCATATCCAAATTTAATGGTGAAGAGAATTTTGTGGCCACTGGTGAGGGGACAATGGCACATGAAACATCACATGACCTTCCTTGCTCTATTATTATCAAGTATTCAGAAAACAAATTTGTTGAAGGACAACATTAGGCCCCAATTTTATTTTACGGACACCCTTAAATTAAAATCGACAAGGATTGATGAAGTTGATGCCAAGATAGAAATCTAAAGGTCACCTATCTACATGACAAAGAAGAGATCAGAACATAGTTTTGCTTCTCACCAGCAATTGTTTATTCAATGGTCTAAATTATTGGCATTGCTGAGAAATACCAAGTAGGCCTATTTAATCAAAGAATAGAAAGGAAGAAACTTATCTTCTTTAATTTTCAACGTAGCTTCACCCACAAATTTTAGGCCCCATACCAACATGGCCAACAGACATTAGCACATGGCTTTGGCTTTGGTTAGTAACAAACACTTAACCTCCATCTTGTATAAATAATCCCTCTTCTATGAGCCTTTTCATCATCAATCAAAAGCATAATCAGTTCAGCCATAAAAATTCTCTAAATTTCTTATTTACTCTCTTGTTTCCATTCTTCCAAAAAAAATGACAATGATCGGTACCAAGAAACTCATCAAAATGGCCAGGAGATGGCAGAAGTTTGCAGCCGGGCAAAGGAAGAGGATTTCATTTTCAAGAAATGGTAGTGATGCAGATGATTGTAGTACGTCTTCATCGTCTATAGCTGAAAAAGGACATTTTGTAGTATATACAATTGATCAAAAGCGCTTCATGATTCCCTTGGTTTATCTTGAAAATGAGGTCATTAGGCAGCTTTTAATCATATCTGAAGAAGAGTTTGGTCTGTCAAGTGGTGGCCCTATTACATTACCTTGTGATTCAGCTTTTATGGACTACATCATTTCGCTAATAAGGAAAGGCCTAACTGCAGGAGATCTTCACAAAGCATTGCTCCTGTCATTTCCTTCATGTTATTGTTCGACTTCTTCTCTGCTCCAAGAAAGTGGAAACCAACAGCTTCTTGTTTGTTGAGTCATAATCAACATTATTTATACTACATCCTAGATCAAAATAGTTTTTAGATAGGCCATTGACTAACAAACAAAATTGTAAAGTGCATCACACAGATTGAATTTTATTTAATCAGAGAAAGTTTACCATATCTGTCGCTTTCACTTTTACATTTGGTTATCATAGGTCCCAAACAATAATTATTTTATAGGTCCATTTAGTTGTCAACCTAATGAAGAAATAATGTAACTCATAACTTCCATCATGTCAAACAAGATTTTTTGACAAATTTAATACCCCATATCAACATCCAACAGACATCGCGTTGCTTTGTCTTCCATGTTGATGTCAGCATATTAAAAATAAACTTGTCAAAGAAAATAAGATGCCCAAAATATATTTGTGCAGAAACAATTAGGTGATAAAATAATTGCAGATGTTGAAAACGTCCTTAAGTGGAGTCATCTTGATTCCTGTTCTTTTAAGCTATATATAATTTTTAACTCTAAATGATGGTCCAAGAATAAACAAGAAACAAATAATCATGAAAAATGCACAAAAAATGAAATATTTTGTCACTGTACATGTTATGGAAAGTCTCACATCCAAAATTTAGTAGTCGAGACAATAAGGTGGAGCTGGTGAGGAACAACTCAAATGACATTCTTATTCCGCTAACTGATGCTTTCTTCGATGTGCTAGTTAAAATAAAGAAGATAGACGAGAAGATAAGGGGCGAAGGACTTTTTGAAATCCGATCGGTGTAAACATGATATAAATTTTTCTTTGTCCTTTCTTAAGTGCAACTGTTGCATGCAGGGGCTTAATTAATTTGCTTAGAAGAAATATCCTACATGAACGCAGATACTTCCAAAATAGTGATTATTAGAACCAGCACTTTTGCTATACATAAATTTATTATTGAAGAAATTTTCTAGTATGTTGTCTTTCTGAATTATACAATGGATTTTACTCTTTCTAATATCTAAGTCCTACTACTACTTTACAAAATTCCATGTGCAAAAGAATATGCACTGTGATACAATTCATCGTCTCAAGCGGAATGTGAGATCAACAAACACATCCTCTTTGCAAGGTATTGTGAGACCACCCATCTGATGATTGAAGCCAAACTCTTCTTCAGCTTGAGTTAACAAGTCTTGAAATAATGGTTGGTTCAAGTAAGATATTGGCACCACGAATCTCTTCTTCTAGTTCACTCCTACATATACTGCGCAATGACATTTAGGAACACCTGCGGAATTTGAAAACCTCCTCAAGATTCTAGTACCTTGAATTGTTAGAACAAATTACTCAAGAAACTGATTTGAAAAATAAAAATAGAGTGAACTTATGAAATTCTAGCTATATATTAATCTGCAGAAAGTCTGAATTTATACAAGGACATTAAAACTAAATAAGAAAATGTGCCACTAACTACCATAAAAAGGGGCCACCAACAGCCATAAATGGGACCACTAAGTTCTGGAAGTTAAGCAACTAAAGTTGACTAAGTCTATCTAGAAAATAGGAAGCACTAAACTGAAATAAGTAAAACGGTAAAAAATAATAATAAGCTGGAAAAAATGTCAATTGTCTAACACTCCACCTTGGCATTTTTGTGGCAAACACCAAATCTTTGCGTCAGATCTTCAAACCTTTCCTTTGGCAATGACTTGGTGAAAATGTCAGCTAGCTGGTTCTCAGATGAACAATGAACAAGCAACACCTTTATTAGATTATTGGACTTCTCTAATAAAATGAAACTTGATCATGATATGCTTAGTTCGACCATGAAACACTGGATTTTTTGAGATTGAAACTGCTGAACTGTTGTCACACATGATCTTGGTAGCTTATGTTTGTTCATGGCCTAAGTCTTTCATCATCTTCCTCAGCCAGATAGCTTGATTCCAGCAGCTATGTACTAAGCTTCTGCTGTTGATTGAGCTGTAGTTTCTTGTTTTCTAGAGCTCCAACTAAAAAAACTTGTCCCCAAACAAAAAAGATATCCAGAGGTGCTTCTCGAATCATCAACTCCACCACCCCAATCACTATCAGAGTATTCGATGAGGTTCATATTTACTTCGGCAGATGTTGGGAAAAAAATTCCATACTTGCTGGTTCCTTTAATATACCTCAACACTCTTTTAGCCGCTGTGAGGTTTGTGTCTCTAGGAGAATGCATGAACCTAGAGACCAAACTAACAACAAATAGAATGTCAGGACTGTTTGTGGTTAGATATAGAAGACTGCCAATTAAGCTTCCATATATACAATCGTCCACTTTTTCGGAATCCTCATCCTTGCCAAGCTTCACACCAGTAGATATTGGAGCACTCACAGGTTCGCAGTATTGTTTTTTGAACTTGTTTAGAATATCCGAAATGTATTTCTGATGGCATATGAAAATTCCATCACTGGACTACAACACTTTCATGCCAAGAAAGTACTTCATGACTCCAAGATCAGTCATGTCAAAGATTTTCTTCATTTCATCCTTGAACCTTTGGATTAGTTCAATTTTGTTTCCTGTCACAAGCATGTCATCCACATAATTGAGACAATTAAGGACTCACCTGCAACAGTGAATTTCACATACAAAGTAGCTTCACTTTGACTTCTACTAAAGCCAAGTTGGATAAGATGATTATCCATCCTCTCATACTATGCCCTTGGGGCTTGTTTTAGGCCATACAAGGCCTTCGTTAAGAGATAAACTTGATTCTTTTTTTTGGGAGTTGAGAAACCATCAGGTTTCTCTAGATAGATCTCTTCAGCAAGCAAGCCATTTAAAAAAGTCGATTTGACATCATGTTGATGAATCTGCCAGGAACTATGAGATGCAAATGCAAGAACAAGCTTGATTGTGTCATACCTTGCTATAGGAGCAAATGTCTCCTGGTAATCCACACCATATTGTTGTGTGTATACCTTCACCACTAATCTAGCCTTATGTTTGCAAATTGTTCCATCAGGATTGAGTTTAGTCTTGAAAATCCATTTTACACCAATCACCTTGCGATTTCTAGGTATGTCAACAAGCTGCCAGGTTCTGTTCTTCTCGATCATGTCGTTCTTCTTGCATATCTCTCCTCCATGCCAGAGAGTCTTGTGCTTTAGGATATCTTGTTGGTTTAGAGTAACCAAGTTACGCCGCTGATAGACATCTTTTAAGGATCGAGTTCCCCTCACTGGTACATCATCCACTAGTTCATCTTCAAAAAGTTGAGGCTGCTCTATTGAAAATAAATCAGAATAAGAGGTCTTCTGATTTTTCCAATCCCAACCAGCTACTTCATCAAACTTCACTTCTCGGCTGGAATTAGTTTGTCTAATTTCAAACAAATAATCATGTAACCTTTGGATGAACTATAGCCCATAAATATGCCTTTATGAAGCCTTGTTTCCAGCTTACTCCTCTTTGTTTCTGGAACTCGATAATAACATATACACCCAAAGATTCTGAGGTGGTGTACTGATGGTTTGTTCCCACACCAAGCATCATATGGAGTCATGTCCTGCAAGGCCTTTGTAGGCAATCTGTTCAGCAAATATACAGAGGTATTGACTGCCTCAGCCCAAATTGATTTGGGATCTTTCTTTCGAGCTAAATACATCTGGCCATCTCCATTACTGTCTTGTTCTTCCTTTCAGACATGCCATTTTGTTGTGGAGTGTATGGTAATGTTAATTTGCGTTCAATACCTGTGCTACTACAAAACTCCACAAATTGAGAAGAAGTATATTCTCCTCCATTGTCAGACCTTAAAGCTTTAATACTAAGATTACATATTTTCCACTAAAGCTTTAAATTGTTTAAAAACATCAAAGACTTCACTCTTCAGTATTATGAAATAAATCCAACACATTTTGGTGTAGTCATTAATAAAAAGGAGAAAGTTTTGTTACCACTCAGTGAATTTGTTTTCATTGGGCCGCAAACATCCGTATGAATGAGCTGAAGCTTCTAGTTTGCTCTCCGTTCTTGATTTGCTTGAAATGACAATTTTGTTTGCTTTCCCTGTTGGCAAGTTTCACTAACTTGAGCATTATAAAGAAATTCAGACATAGTTTCCACTAGCTCCTTTTTTTTCATCTCCGCGATGCTTCTTAGATTTAAGTGACCAAACCTTTTGTGCCATAGGTTTGTACATGTTTGTGAAGTAATAGTGTAAGCCTGCTCAATTATTTTCTCCCAATCAATATAAAACATTCTGTTGCTCATCTTGACATAAAATAACTCTACTCCAGAAGGGTCAAAAACAACACCTTCACGATTCTTAAAATGCAGAGAATAATTATTTTCAAGCACTTGTCCAACACTCAACAAAATTTGACTCATATCAGGTGTGTACAAAATATCAGGAATAGTTTTGATACCTGATATTGTTGAGATAGACATTGTACCTCTGCCTTTGACTTCACTGCCTCATCGTTTCTCACTTTTACTTTACATTTGTAAGTATCATCGACGAATTTGAACAGTTCAACATCATTGCAAAGTGATGTGTGCAACAATTGTCAAGAAGCTATGAATAAGAGGATTCATTGATTGAAAAGTATGAAACTGCAAAAAGTTGCTCCTCATGTGCATCGGCAGCTTCTGCTACTTGTGCTTGCTAAGCACCAGAGGCCTTTGCTATTGATTTGCATACCTTGGATATGTGTCCCGTATGCTTACAGTTGCCGCATATAGCATCGACTCTCCACAAATAATACTTCTCCAGATGTGTATTTCTTTTACAATGTTTGCAAGGAGGGAACTTCTGCTTCACATCTCCACTATTGTTTCCTCCATCATGCTTGACCTTATTCTTTTGGTGGAATTGTTGCTTTCCTTTTTGCTTTTGTACAGAGAAAGCTCCTTCACTGAACTTTCCCCGTCTCATAGTCCTCCCTTGCTCTTGTGCTTAAAGAGCACTCATTAGTTCACTTAATGAAAGTTTGCCCAGGTCCTTGGATTCTTCAAGAGAGGAAATCTTAAATTCAAACCTCTGAGGAAGAGTCACAGGCACTTTCTCCACAATTTGTTTGTCTGTAAATTCTTCACCAAGAAGTCCAATGTTATTAACAAATAAGGAGATTCTATCAGCATACTTACTGATAGTTTCATCCTCCTGCATAGTCAAGGACTCAAACTCTCTTTTCAGGTTCAACACTTGCATTTGACGTGTTCTATCGTTGCCTTGATATTCTTCTTTCAACCTATCCCAAGCCTTTTTTGCAGTTTTGCAAGCTATGATTCTGTAAAACATAGAATCTGCCACAGCATTCTGCATAAGCGACTTGACTTTAGATTTCTTTGCCTTCTCTTCGTTGTTGGATTTGATCTGAGCCAAGGTAGGATTTGCTGGTAGAGCAACAAGTGGTTTATCATCCGTCACAGTTTCCCAAAGTTCATAGGCTTCAAAAAAAGCTTGCATCTTCACAGACCAAGTTTGGTCATTTTCACCGGTACAAGTGAATGGTGGATTTAAAGGTAGGTTGTTGGATGTCATTTATGTTGTAGGTTAAAACCTTTTGGTCCTGTAAGATCAACTAGAGGCTCTGATGCCACTTTTAGAACAAAATACTCAAGAAACTGATTTGAAAAATAAAAATAGAGTGAACTCATACAAGGACATTAAAACTAAATAAGAAAATATGTCACTAATTACCATAAAAGGGGTCACTAACAGCCATAAATGGGGCCACTAACTTCAGGAAGTTGAGCAACTAAAGTTGACTAAATCTAGCTAGAAAATAGGAAGCACTAAACTAAAATAAGTAAAAACAGTAAAAAAATAATAATAAGCTGAAAAAAATGTCAATTGTCTAAAATGAATAAGCGGACTCATTTTGATACCCATATTGAGATACTTTGTAACTTCAAATGATGAATCAAAAAGAAAAAGAATGCATGATTTTGAGAAATACACAACAAGTGAGGCTTGTGTTCTGCATAAATAAAAGACTTCCTATGTATGTGTATATATACGAAGTTAGTTGTAAGTTTCATGAACAAATTAAATGTGAAGAAAATTTGTTGGCCACTGGTGAGAGACAATTGCATATTAAGCTTTGGATGGTTTTGCTTACCCTGTTATTGTCAAGTATTCAAACAATACATTTGTTGAATTAGGCCCCAAATTTATCTTACGGATACCCTTAAAATAATATCGACAAGGATTGGTGAAGTTGATGCCAAGATGAAAATCTACATGACAAAGAAGAGAGAAGAACATGGTTTTGCTTCTCACCAGCAATTGTTCATTTAATAGTCTCAAATTATTGGCATTGGTAAGAAATGAAGAAACTTATCATCTTATATATTCAAACTAGCTACATCCACAAATTTAAAGCCCCATATTAACATGGTGAACAGGCATCAGCACATGGCTTTGCCTAACAAACTTATCAGCTCCTCTTGTATAAATTAACTCTCTTCCTTGATCATCAAGCACAAGCACTATCAATTCAGCCATCAAAACTCTCTAGATTTCTTATTTACTTTCTTGTTTTCAATCTTCCGGAAAAGAAAATGGCAATGATTAGTACCAAGAAACTCATCAAAATGGCTAGGAAATGGCAGAAGTTTGCAGCCATGCAGAGGAAGAGGATTTCATTTCCAAGAAATGGCAGTACATTCTCATCACCTATAGTTGAAAAAGGACATTTTGTAGTATATACAGTCGATCAAGTTCGCTTTGTCATTCCATTGGCTTACCTTGAAAATGAAGTCATTGAACAACTCTTAAACATGTCCGAAGAAGAGTTTGGACTGCCGAGTGGTGGCCCTATTACATTACCTTGTGATTCAGCCTTCATGGACTACATCATTCCACTAATAAACAAAGGCATAGCTTCTGGAGATCTTCACAAAGCGTTGCTCCTATCAGTTCCTTCTTTTTGCTGTTCGACTTCTTCTTTGCACCAAGAAAGTGGAAACCAACATCTTCTTGTTTGTTGAGTCATAATTAACAGTTTTCTAATTACACTCTAGCTTAGATAGGACATAGGATGAAGAACACAATTGTAAAGCTCATCATACAGATTCAATATTCAATATTATCAGAGAAGATTTACCATATCTACATGTTTCACTTTTACATTTGGCTATGAAAAGACGTAACAATCTAATCCTGGATTAGTACCTCTTATGTATTAACACCACTAAGATATCAATTCTTCATTCAAAGGACCCAAGCTATTATTATTAATCAATAGGTCCATTCAGTTGTCAAACAAATGAAGAAAGAAAGAAATCTGCAAAACTTCTCCACAAATTTAAGACCCCATAAACAATATCCAACAGACATCAGGCTTTACTAAAGTATCGTGTGGCTTTCTCTTCCAAGTTAGTATCAGAATATTAAAATAAAATTATTGAACTTAATAAGATGTCCAAAATATATTTTTACTGCAGAAACAATTAGGTGAAAAAACAACTGCAGATGCTGAAGAACCTAAATGATGTCCAAAATATATCGCCTGGCTTTGTCTTTCAAGCTATGATTTTTAAATCTAAATAATTTTGAGAAATGCTCAAATACTTTGTGTATGTGTATATATAAGTTTATGGCATTCAAATGACAGTCTTATTCTGCTAAATGATACTTTCTTCAATGTGCTAGTTTGCTCCACGCCGTGCAACTGTTCCATACAGGGGCTTAAATATTTTTTAAAGAAATATTATAAATGAATAACAGAATTTTTTTAGCAAATAGTGATTATCAGAACCAGCACTTCTGCTATTCATAAATTGACCATTGAAGAAATTTTCAAGGTTCAAGCGTTTCTGAACTATACAGTGGATTTCCTCTTTCTAATATCTACGTCCTACTAATTTACAAAATTTCATGTGCAAAGAGAATTTGTACTTCAATACAATTCATCGTCTCAAGCGGTATGTGAGATCAACAAACACGTCTTCTTTGCAAGGTATTGTGATACCACCCATATGGTAATCGAAGCCAAACTGTTCTTCAGCTTGAGTTAACAAGTCTTGAAATAAAGGCTGGCTCAAGTATGATATAGGCACGACGAATCTCTTCTTCTGGCTCTCTCCTAAATATACTGCACAATGACCTTTGGGAACACCTCCGGAATTTGAAAACCTCCTCAAGATTCTAATACCTTGGATAAGAGGACTCATTTTGATGCCCATAGTGATATACTTTTTGTAGCTTTAAATGAATGACTTAAAAAGAGAAGGATTTCGAGAATACACAGAAATTGAGACTTGTGTTTTGCATAAAAAGCTTTTTGTGTATGTGTATATATACAAAGTTAGTGATAAGTTTCATATCCAAGTTAAATGGTGTTGAGGGTTTGGTGGTCACTGGTGAGAGACATTGGCACATGAAGCTTCACATGGTTTTGCTTACTTTATTATTTTCAAGTATTCAGACAATAAATTTGTAGAACGACATTAGGCCCCGCTTTCATTTGAAATAAAAACCACAAGAATCAATGAGTTGATGCCAAGATGGAAATCTGAAGGTCACCTATCTACATGACAAAGAAGAGAGCAGAACACGGTTTTGCTTGTTAACAGCAATTGTTCATTTAATAGTCTCACATTATTGGCATTGCTGAGAAATACGAAGTAGGCCTAATTAAATAGAAGAAAGGAAGAAACTTATCATATTTCATTTTCAAACAAGCTGCATCCACAAATTTTAGGCCCCATGTCAATATTGTCAACAGGCATTGGCACATGGATTTGTCTGCGGTGGTTAGTGACAAAAACTTCAGCACCATTTTGTATAAATAATCCCCATTCATGATTCTTTTTCATCATCAAGCTCAAGCATTATCAATTTAGCCATCAAAGGTCTCTAATTTTCTCATTTAGTTTCTTGTTTACAGTCTTCAAAGGAAAAAATGGCAATGCTCAGTGCTAAGAAACTCATCAAGATGGCCAGGAAATGGCAGAAGTTTGCAGCCATGCAGAGGAAGAGGATTTCATTTCCAAGAAATGGTAGTGATGCAGACAGTTGCAGTACATCTTCATCATCTACAGTTGAGAAAGGCCATTTTGTAGTATATACAACTGATCAAGCCCGTTTTGTCGTTCCCTTGGCTTACCTTGAAAATGAGGTCATAAAGAAACTTTTGAGCATGTCTGAAGAAGAGTTTGGGTTGCCGAGTGGTGGCCCTATTAAATTACCATGTGATTCAGCCTTCATGAGCTATATCATTTCACTAATCAAGAAAAGTGTAGCTGCGGGAGATCTTCACAAAGCAGTGCTCCTCACGATTCCTTCATGCTGCTGTTCGACTTTTTCTATGCACCAAAAAATTGGAAGCCGACAACTTCTTGTTTATTGAGTCAAGGACAACATATTTTTCGCAGATGGCCAAAATAGTATGTAGAGAAGTAGACATTTAAAAATGCACAATTGTATAGAACATCATACAAATTGAATACTACTTCATTTAAAAATTCACCATATTCATGAGTCATGGCTTTCACTTTTTTATTTTTTTAAGAGAAGTCCTAAGCATCTAATGTTGGATTTTGGAACCTCCTTGACAGAAGGAGTAGATAATATGAAAATTTGACACCGAGTAGATCAATCAATTAACAATAATTCAGCTATCTCAAACCCCAACAGTTTAGTCTCAATTATATGAATCACCTTTAAGCATTATGCTCTAATCAGGTTCATTCATTCCAGTTATGAAAAGTTTGTCTTTTAAGTCAGAAGACGGTTCATCAACGAAGGATGGTTATGCTTATCCATCAGTTGGTTTATGTTCTCAGTTAAGTCCACATATGCTCCAAGGGGTTGTTATATTAGCACCCTATGTTATACGTTATTGGCTTAACTCATTCCTTCTTATCATATTCCAACATCATATAATTATACCTATGTATCCGTGCTCCTAAAGTTCCACTAGGATATGGCTTGATAGATTCAGACGACCTTCTCTCATTTTATCCTCTGTATTTGCACTATATGCACCTGTCACAATAAGTTCAAAATAAATGGGATAAGATGCCATGATAAGCGATCAGCCATATGTACATTTGTTTCTTGCAAAATAGATTAAAGGAATAAGCAAGCCACAAAATTAGCTTTATATATAATGCATAAAGTTGATTCATATAATTGAGATTAAACAGTTTGGGTTTAAGACAGTTGAATGCTGATTGAATAAACTCCTTTGTTTCAAACTTTCATACAGTCTACTCTTTCTTCAATCAAGGAGGTAAAAATATCCAACATTAGATTGTTGGGATCATAACCAATTCGAAAAATCAAAGCCATGAATATGGTGAACTTTCAAATGAAGTGGTATTAAATTTTTATGATGTGCTTTACAATTGTGTAATCTTCAATGTACGCCTCTCTAAAAACTATTTTTGATCTAACATTTACAAAAAGAAAGTTGGCCTTGACTCAACAAACAAGAATCTGTCGGCTTCCACTTTCTTGGTGCAAAGAAGAAGTTGAACAATAGCCTGAAGGAATTGAGAGGAGTAGTGCTTTGTGAAGATCTCCAGCAGTTACACCTCTCTTGATTAGTGAAATAATGTAACTCATGAAGGCTGAATCACAGGGTAATGTAATAGGGCCACCACTTGGCAACCCAAACTCTTCTTCAGACATGCTTAAAAGTTCTCTAATGACTTCATTTTCTAGGTAAGCCAATGGAACGACAAAGCGGGCTTGATCAGCTGTATAAACTACAAAATGGCGTTTCTCAACTATAGAGGATGAGGAAGTACTGCAATTGTCTGCATCACTACCATTTCTTGGAAATGAAATCCTCTTCCTCTGCATGGCGGCGAACTTCTGCCATCTCCTGGCCATCTTGATGAGTTTCTTGGCGCTGAGCATTGCCATTTCTTTTTTTGGATGACCGGAAACAAGAAAATAAATGAGATATTAATAAATCTTTGATGGCTAAATTGATAATTCTTGTTCTTGACGATGAAAAAAGATCATGAATGGGAGACTATTTATATAAGGAGTATATAGACAGGCCTTGGGTTGGAGCTGATGTTTTTGTCATGACTAACCACCGAAGGCAAATCCATGTGCCTATGCTTGTTGGCCATGTTGACATGGGGCCTAAAATTTGTGAATGCAGCTCGTTTGAAATTAAAAGATGAGAAGTTTGTTGCCTTCTTCTCTCAACGCCAATAATTCGAAACCATTAAATGAACGATTGCTGGTAAGAAGCAAAACCATGTTCCGCTCTTTTCTTTGTCATGTAGATAGGTGAACTATAGATTTCCATCTTGGACATGTTGATATGGGGCCTAATGTTGTTCTTAAACAAATTTATTGTTTCAAATAGTTCATAGTAACAGAGTAAGCAAAACCATGTTAAGCTACATGTGCCATTGTCTGTCACCATTAAATTTGTATATAAAGCATTCCCCTAACTTGTATATATACACACACATATATAGAAATAATTTTAAGCAAAACACAAGTCTACGGACGTTCAAACAAACTTTTTACAAAGGCTTTGATGTGTACATCAGCAGACAAATTGCTCGTATAGACTTATCTATCATGAGACAGGACTTCAGAATTGATCTATACCAACAAAGGGAAATTGATCTATACCAACAAAGGGAAATTTGCTTGCTGGACACTAGAGAAGAGGCCAGGATTGCACTCTTCGCCGTTGATGACAATAAGGCACCAGGTATTGATGAATTTAAAGCATACTTTTTATAAGAAAACATGGGATATAATCAGCATAACAGGTTCCTTAAAGCTGTGAATAGCAGTGTGGTCACTGTGATACCTAAAACTCCCCATCCTGAAAGTGTAAGGCATTTTAGGCCTATAGCTTGTTGCACAACAGTGTACAAAGTTATTTCTAAGATCTTATCAGTTTGAAATTGAGGGTCGTTTAGATGGGGTAATTGGCCAAAGTCAATTAGCTTTTATTCCTGGTAGGCTTATTTCAGATAACATTTAAATCCTAAGCTATGAAATAGTGAAATGATACTCTAGATGTATGGTAAAGGTGGACCCTACCGAAAACATATGATTCAATTGAATGTCACTTCATTGAGAAAATGTTAAAGGAGATTGGATTTGGCTAATTGTTAGCTATACTTTTCTGATCAGTGATTGCCTTATCAGAAATTAACCACATGGATGGTTAAGAGTCTAGCTATCATATGCAGGGAGAATCCAACTTATCAAAGCAGTCTTATTTGGTGTACAAGCTTATAGGGACCAAATGTTCTTACTTCCAAAGAAGGTTATGAAACTAATAGAGAGAATCGTCCATTTCCAGGAAGGCCTTCACATCTTGAAAGAAGGTATGTCTCCCTAAAGGTGCCGGTGGGATGAACCTGTTGAATCTAAAGATATGGAATACTGCAGCCTTAAGCAAACTACTTTGGTTTTGAGTTTGAAGAAGGAAAAACTACGGAATAACATGGATTCATACATACTACATTGAAAGTCAGCTTAATGGGACTATGAAAGTTCCAATACAAGATATTGCATATGAGGAAATTTTGGCGGACTTGGGAAGACACTGAAAAACTGATCCATAGATGTAAATTTCTGATCTCAAAGGCGGTACTTTTTATTGATCACAAATCACTTGTCATCACACTGTGTTCCTTTTGCAAGATCAGCTCTTAGATGCGAAAAATCAAATGATGAAGGGAGAAATGAAATGTCGGATTGAATCGCCGCAGCAGGGCTAAGACGAATAGACATGAATGACGAAATGAGGTATGTCATAGTTGTGCTGAAGAAAAACATATATTTATGCTATGGGTACAAATGCAAGGCAGATTGAGGATCATTTATCTTTTTAATGCCTCTATACCAAAGCATTATGGACATCAATACTAGCATTGCAAACATGTCACAGAGGCATACTCGAATGGAAAGATGAGTGGATAAAAATTCAAGGGGTAAACAAGCAAGGGGTATCATCTTAAAAGATAGTTTTGCAATGGTTATACACAACATCTAGATTGAACGAAACCAGAGGATTTTTCAACAAACTCAGAGACCAATGGAAACACTTCTTCATCACATAATATAAGAGTTAGTGGGAACAGAAAGTTGATGGAGTATATACATACATGCTAGTTTTGGAGTTCGATATTGCACTGCATGTCCCTGAGTAGGATCAATTATTACCTATCTTGGCAGCTAATCGAGTCAAGAAGAGAGCAATAGTTATTATGTTGACCCGATCCTAGAATATTTAGTTCTCTCTAGTTCATTTTTTCTTGTTTTGCAAGCAAGAGGTCCGTTAACTCATTAGGAATAGTAAGAAAAGTTCTAGCACTCCCTCACTTATAAAAATAAAAATAATGACTAAAGAATTTTAGAAAAACCCAAGTGAAAGTTTGTTGTTACAAGTTTCATATCAAAATATTTAGTGGTGGTCAAGAGAGATAATGTGATATGAAGTTTCACATGGCTTTGCTTACTCTCTAAAGTATTCAGACTACAAATTTGTTGAAGAACAAGACTCGTGATTTACATAAAGGACACCCTTAGAACAAAATCCACAAGAATAGATAAAGATGATAACTTTGCCTGGACCACCTGATTTAAAGATAGGGTGACAAAGACTCAAACAAAATAGCCACATGATAACTTTGATGAAGTGGTTTTTTTAGCACAACTAGCCAAGATGATAGTTGAGTGTCCCCTATCTACATGAAAATGAAGGGAAAAGAACATGGTTTTGCTTCTCACCAGCAATGGTTCATTTAATGGTTTCAAATTATTGGTATTGGAGAGAAGTACCAACTATGAGCTGATATTATACCAAATAGGCTTAATTGGTTTTTTATCACAAACTAGCATCATCCACAAATTTTAGGCAAAGCCATGACATCGGCACATGGCTTTGCCTTCGGTGGTTAGTGGCAATAACTTCAAATCTATTTTGTATAAATAATACCTCTTTCATGAGCCTTTTCATCATCAAGGACAAGCATTATCAGTTCAACCATCAAAGTTCTCTAAATTTCTTTTCAACTTTCTTATTTTCAATCTCCCAAAAAGAAAATAACAATGCTCAGTGCTAAGAAACTCATCAAGATGGTTAGGAAATGGCAGAAGTTAGCGGCTATGCAGAGGAAGAGGATTTCATTTCCAAGAAATGATGGTGATGCAGACAGTTTCAGTACATCTTCATCCTCTATAGTTGAGAAAGGTCATTTTGTAGTCTATACAGCAGATCAAGCCCGCTTCGTCGTTCCATTGGCTTACCTCGAAAATGAAGTCATCAGGCAACTATTAAGCATGTCTGAAGAAGAGTTTGGGTTGCCAAGTGGTGGCCCTATTACATTACCCTGTGATTCAGCCTTCATGAGCTACATCATTTCACTTGTCAAGAAAGGCGTAGCTGCTGGAGATCTTCACAAAGCAGTGCTCCTCTCGATTCCTTCATCCTGCTGTTCCATTTCTTCTATGCACCAAGAGAGTGGAAGCCGACAGCGTCTTGTTTATTGAGTCAAAGACAACATATTTTAGTAGATGCTAGCTCAAAAATAGTTTTTAGAGAATCAGACATTGACGAGTACACAATTGTAAAGCAGATCATACAAAATTTTACTACTAATTTATTTGAAAATTTACCGTATACATGGATTTCAATTTTATATTTTGTTATCAGAAGTCATAACAATCCAATCTTGGAGCACCAGACATATCAATCTTTAACTCATAAAAGGAAAATTTGACGCAAACCACATGTAATGGCAAGTGTAACTTTGTTTTATGTTTCCAGTTAAGTCTGCATTGTCTCCAAGTGATTGTTATGTGATCTATGGTCTTACTCATTCCTTCTTACCATCATTCAGCAACAGTAATCATACTGTGTTGAACCTATGGATTTTTGCATCTAAACGTCCACGTATTATATGGTGGATCATATTAGATGATCAATTCTCATATTATAATGTATTATCGTGCTACACATTAGGGATCGATGACCTCCAATAATACTACAATAACAACTACACCTAAGTCCCAAATAATAAGGTGGGATCAACTATATAAATTCTCACTTACTATATTTAAACTCATTGCAGACTAGCTTCATTTCAAATGTAGAAACATTTTAAAAGTTCTGTAAATCTTTGGCATTAGGTTACTACACAGAATTTCAAATATATTGGATAAGTCAAAAAGTAGCTTATATTAGCAAACTAACTCCACTAAATGACACTTTGTTGAATGCAGGTAGGTGCTTAATTAATCTGTTCAGCTGAAAAATTCCAAAAGAATTAATGAAATTGTTTTAAGAGAATAGTACCATAATAAAAACTTCTGCATTCATAAACGGATCTCCACTTTCTAATTTCTAAGTGCTACTACGTACTATACAAAACTTCATGGTGCAAAAGAATTTGCACTATGATAAAATCCATGATGACATGAGATGAACGAGCACGTCCTCTTTGCAAGGTATTGTGAGACTACCCATTGGATGATCGAAGTCAAACTCTTGTTCATCTTTAGCTAACAAGTCTTGTAATAAAGGTTGGCTCAAAAATAGTCTTTAGAGAGAATAGTACACAATTGTAATGAACATCATACCACATTGACTTATACCACTCTATTTGACCACAATCTAATGCTTCATAAAAATGAGATAAGATGCTATAATATGTACATTTGCCCTTTACCAAAATGCTAGATTTTAAGTCACAAAAGTAAATCAACAAAATCATTATTCCATGGATAATTTCCTTGACTAACTCAATAGTTTAGTTAATTATAATTAAATCTCATGTGTCATTTAATGTTTTCTACCAATATCCCCCTTATTGGATCCTCAAATCCCTTTTATTAGAATAAATAATTAACACAATTGTATAACCTACCGCTCATTTTTAGAATAGTTCAATTTTAATGAAATGACATGAAGTACAACAACAAATATTGATGAATGAGAGCACTAGGGCAACCCCTATTACCCTCTCTCTCGAATTACTTCAAAATTGAATAAATCATCATATATTATTATAAGAGGGAACAAAAAAGTTAAAAGTTGAATTACAATTTTACCCTTGCTATAAATTAAAATGTTATAAAAGCATTTAATTATTTAGTTTAAATGTTAAATTGTATTATTTTAATAAAAATGTAGATGACTTTTGCATTTCTTTAAATTAATTCTTAATTAAAATATATGCAAATAATTAAAAGTTGGGAATGTGAAAAGATATATTTTTATTGTACATGTATATCCAATAATTACTGGCATATGAAAAGTGTGACTTTTCATTTATCG